ATTGTGCCCCACTGCTGAACACCAATGTGAGATACTTAAGACCTTACATAGCATCTCAGATGGTGAAAGCATACCTCCCGCTGATCACATTTGTAGCTTTGATTGTTCAGCACTTGGAAGGTGGTATTACAAGATATTAAATTTAGCATGCAACGTATGACAAACGTTACTAGCAGCCATCTATTAAAAGCACAATTTGCCTACTCTGATGCAAGAACCACCAGCAGACACACAGGTGTGAAATCAAGTTTATCGGTGGAGTGATCGGGTTCTGAATAAAACCTTCTCTTCCTGCAACACATTGGTTTTCTAACATCTGCAATAACTAACACATACCACAGACGCGGTTCTTCCCCTTGTTTCATATCTGTCCATCTGTGTAGTCTACGTTTTGGTATTTCCTGGTTCTTGAGTGCTTAACTTCGTAGCTAATAACACTAATACATTTTAATGCAAAACTAATCATCATCTCTCAAAGACAATACTTACATTACTTTTTATTAGCTTACATGAGCCTTGTTACCTTAAACAAGGTTGGTTTTTTTTTTAATCTTCAAAGCATTGTGGAAAAACATAATCTCATTGCAGGTGGGAGCACACAGAGGTAGTGTAGTCTCGATGTAAGGAGGGCAACTGTGGCAAGACCACACAAAAGATCTCTGCAGGTGAGAATGTCTGCCTGGCAGCTTCCCTGCAGAGCAGAAAGGGAAGTTGTAAGTAAGTGGACTAAGCAGAGAGAGAGAGGAAATCCAAACTAGGCTTGGTGATGACTTACAAAGGTTTTGAGGTTAGTGAAAAGGAAATAGCACATAGTTTTGATATCTAGGTGAATACTAGCAATGTGGTTACTGTACCCAGCTAGGTTTTTTTATTATTATTTTGTTGTAAGTAGGTTTTGAACTCTTGCAGATAAAGTTTCTGGTTATAGTGAGCTTATCCAGAAACCAGCAGCTGGTATTGTAACTTCGAAGAGATTTTTTTAGAGTTGCATCAGCTTCATTGCACAAGACTTTGGTAAGGGGAAGTACAGGATAAGACTGGTAAATAATGAATTACTCATAACAGCTGCAGTGATAGCAAACTGTGCTTTACTGTGAGCGGGACACTGCCCTGGCAGTGGGGATGTAACTGCCACTTCCAAGCTCCCTTCCCAACCAGTGAGGAAGACTGGACAACAGCCTGCTCAGAAAGGCAGATGTAGGCTTTGTATGTAAGGACAGTAAGGAAACATTATTTTTACATTCTGTCCCAGAAAGTCAGCTGCATCTCAGTAAATAAGATGGCCTATTTTAGTGCCTGTCATTCAGAAAGATGCTAAAACGTGCTCAGCTGCAAGGGTGAGAGGATTTCTTACACACGGGTTAGAAACTGTTGCAGTACCCTTTCCCTGGGCAGGTGTAATCTGCCTTGAGACGACTATATGACCACTGTAGCATTCAAACCAAGTGCTGAAAGAAACGCCTCAGAAGAAGTATCATATTTGTGAATAAGGACTTGTATGGCTAAGAGGAGCTACTGGTCAAAAAATCTGATTTAAACTGACAAAAGGATATGTTCACATACACTGCTCAGGGAAGAGGGAAAAGCTGTGTCATCTACAGGGCAATTAGATACCTATCACTTCAACTTTCTTTCCGGATTAAAAAAAGAATGGGTAACACCAGAGCTGCCTTAACTCAAGGAGAATATTTGGATTTCTTAATGCTGCAGAAGATGGATGTTCCAGGTACAGCAGTCACCTGAAAAGGTCATGAAAAGGGCAGAAATTAAAAGGCAAGCTACTGGGGGGAGAGAAACAGAACAAAAGTAGGGAAAAACCAGCCAATCTAGGACTATTACTGTGAAGTACGGAAGGGATGGATACTTACAGTGCAGTGCAGGTTGGAATCGGGCATGCTTACGTGGAGCTAGGGATGGTCAGGCCAGATGTAGAAGGCCTCGGGGACTCTTATTTTGTCCATAGTGTGAGCTGCTCTGAAAAGTGGAAAGCTTTTTCCTTGTCCCTGAGAGGATTCAAAGAAAGAAAGCACGGCCTTTCAATTGGAATAACTGTCCAGTTTATAAAAGAAAAACCCACCTTCATGTGGCTGGTCATCACGTCCTGTGGTGGGTTCAGAGACAGCTGGCTGAATCGGTAATGGCCGTCTGATAGACTAAAATGACCATATATTTCTTTTGCTTCATTCAAGTTAACAAGAACTAGGTCTGTGTGCCAGAATCGGGGAGATGGATAGATCGCCTCAACTTGAGTGTGCGTGGGTTTGCTCATTTTTCCTCAGGCTTGTTCACTTTTCTGTCTAGCGAATGCTTAATGGGTGGGCAGATGCCTTTTACACTGTGTGTTGGATATGAATGCTGAGTCCTCTAATGGGATGTGAACTGATGCGTTTAAGTATTGAACGTTCAGGAACAAAGAGTTACAGCCTCTTTCTAAGGAGGGTATGATCTCAAAATGATTTCTGGCCTGCACCGATTAGAACCAGGGATCTGGAAGCTGAAATGAGTAGTGCAGCAATTTGTAACGTAGAGCTCTGATTTCTGTAGAAGCAAATTCATTAGCTCAGATTGGTAGTGTCATTTTAACTCCTGATTTAACAATGGACGTGATTTAAATGTGGGTATTTAAAGGTTATTGTGTCTGTGTTACGCGAGATCATTCTGTTGTGTTCTGCTAAGGCTTCTTATTCCCTAGGGAACTGAGTGAACAATATCGAAATGAAGACAGTAAAGCGGTAGGACACGCCGTCCTCACTGTTATACAGAGTAGGGTGATTCAGGAGTGTGTAACTCACCTGTGATGAGTAAAGATGACTACTGCAGGCAGGAAGGGTGGGATCCCTTTCACATGCCGCCCCCCAGCCCAGGCAGTGGAAAAAATTAAGTACTGAAGTGCTGCAGGTAGAACATGGTCCTGTTTCCCAGCTACATCAGCTCCCCTTAATGGCAACAGTTCGTCTAGTGCCTTAAGTTTTCTTATAAAGGCCTTTTACAAATTCTGTTTAGGGAAGCGGCTTTTTTTCAGGCTTGCCTTTACAGTACCCCGGGTGTCTCTCAAGAAGTTCTTCTGTAAGGTAACTAGAGAAACAGGAATTACTAAAGTGCATCAGACCACGACCCGCATAGCCTACAGCCGTGTCAGTGGTTGTAACTAGTACTGAGTGCTAAAGCAGGAAGAAACCCTGCAGTTAGTTTGTATTACGGTACATTCCCAAAAAACATTTCTTCTCGCCTCTTAAGACACGCACGTGACTTTAATTGCGCGTCAGCCATGCTTCCGTACCTCCAGAAACAAAATGAAACTAATTTGTACTGTTTAACAGAATGTTTGTGTTGTTAGCCGTGTGCTACAACACTCAGGTTTTAATGCCTCACTTTTTTAGACGTTGTCTCGTTACTTGATTAAGAAGCTGAAAAAGTTTCTAGTCTGCCATCGATCATTACTTTCTGTACTTCTATCTGGTATTTAAGGTGAACAGTTACAGTGTTTTCACATAAGCCTTTTTTTCTGGCCCCTAGCAATTCTCATATGATGTGGGGCTTGAAATCTGGTCGCAGCTTTCCAGCTGCCAGTGTACAAGAGGTCTGTCATTTTCAGTATTACTATTATTTGTCTCTCATTTTTACGCACCATTGTTTTCTGTTGTCCTCCTCCCCTCAAAAAACAGGTATAACTGATTAAGGGTGTTAGTGAGCTGTGCATAAAAACATCTGTGTCTCTGCAAGGACAGAGTAGTTAATTTAAAGCCTAGTAATCTGTATTAATAACTCATAGTATTCACTCTAAACATGTGTCGCTTTGCAGTCAAAACCGCAGTCTTGACAATTTTGGGTTTGTCTTACCACCCATTCATGAAATACAGCTAAATTTTCTGAAATGCCATAGCCTAGTCTGGAAGAACCTAGATGCCCCACCTACACACTTTGCTACTTCCCTTTTTTAGTAAATATTTACACACACCGCAGATGAAAATATGAATCCCTTAAAAAATCTTAATAAAATCCGTTTGTATGATTGTAGGGGTTTTGGGGTTGTTTTTTGCCTTTTTGGGATTAGGGATTTTTTGAGCATTGTCTTTCTGGTTAATGTCAAAGTAGCAGAAAGTTATGAATATCCTGTTATTACCAGAAAGAAGGAAAAAACAAAAACAAACTGGTTTTAATAATGTGTTATTAGCACAAGGGAAGAAATTAGATTAGGCTGACGCTCTTTTTAAAATGCCTTTTTTTAGTGTGGCTAAGTTACCAGTTGCCCAGGAAATAAGCAGACAAACCTCTTGACTTTCACTTTTTCATGTTTTAACATGGCATACTTCCACAGTATGTAGCAGGAGGAAGTCAGCTTATTCTGTCTTGTGCATGGGCCAAAAGCCATGCAGTCACACGAGCAAAAAGTTGCACCCAAGCTAATAGGACGGCAGAGAGGTGTTTTCATGGGAATACTCATGAATCCCTGCTCATTTTAGTCTTAAGTTCACTAATGTAGTCACACTGTGAATGAATTCCAGACGAGATATATATCCTGCTTATCAATCAGGTGTGTTAACTCGGTCTCAAGGCTAGGGATCTGCATTGTCACTGTCCCATGGTTTCTGATTGACTTAAGAACGGGCGGAGCAAAGCTCTCTTGCTCAGAGCTGTAGGGAGTGTACCAGGCTGGTGTGCATCTGAGCTTGTGAGGTGTTTTGGAACTGAGCTGGAACGGTAGTACAGTGGAAAACCTACAGAATATCCTCCTTATGTTTTCATGCTTTAATTGCTACTGGTACAGTGCAGCAACGTTGCCAGTAGTAAGAGGCAAACCTCTGCGTTTGCTCACTGCATCTCAGTCTTTGCCACCAAGGAGGAAACCCATGAAGCAGAATCTCTGCGGGATAAATTTTGTATATGGTAGAAGACTTTTCTCTGAACTGCCTTTAGAATATATTGTCCTTGAATTAATATTATATTTAAGCAATGTTCTTAAAATTATTCCCCAATTTAAAATATAAATTATTACCTTTTTCAGGAAATCCAGTAGAGGAGACTTCGTATTTTCTGCTGATCGTCTGGTAGGTGAAGAATTTCTTATTCTTGGTATTGTACTTTGTAACTCTTCCATAAAAAGGGTCTTTCAGGCTAGAATAATGGTGGTGTGGGGCAACTTTTCTACACAAAGGAAATTGCTGTTTGACAGCAACTTTCTGTAGAGGGACTTCTGTTCTCTGTTACGGACTGCTTTCATCTCAAAGGGTTCTAGAAACCATGTTATTATCAAACACAACTACTTCAGGACAGAGAGCAGTAGTAATAAGAGAATACTGTTTAAAAACAGATGCACAGAGGCTAGAGATAATTCAATTTTACTTTGAAACAGTACTTTTGATCTTGCAAACAGAGCTGTACAATTCCTTACAGTCTAGATGTTAACAATTGCTTGCATGCAGAAGTGCCTCCTGGCACTTGTTGTGTATTAGATTAGTAGCTCTGGGTGCATCCACACGGGGAATTTGGTTTTAGCCATATGGTATTTATTAGCAGGGACAAAGCAATTTGAAGTTTTCACATATTTTAGTAAGTCAGAACAAAGACTGTTGGGAATGCAACATTTATCTCATTTAAATTACATGCTTAAAGAAAACCACAACACTCACACCCGTGCATATACTTTCTTGTATTCATGAGGGTGTTTACTGTTTGCAAATCCACATTCATTAACAAGGAAAGCCTTTCTTCCCCCCTCTAGCAAAGATGAGTACAGAGACCATTCAATTACCAGCACCATTTGCTACAGCAGGCAGGTTTCCTGTGATGAGCCCAATCTTAATCCATGCCTGATCCGGGCTTGCTCAGGGCTTAGATATGACCACAACCTAAGATTGTGACTGCAGTGCTTTTTATCTTTGCAGCTTTTCCACTTTCCCCCCTGCTTTTCCCTTCTTGAGGATGTTTCTTGCATTCCCATTCACGAAGAACAGTAAAGGCCCAAGCCAACAAATCCCATCACTCGTAACTCATAGATCAAGTGACTGACTGGAGCGCCTTCTTTGCCAATAGTACTTCATAATGGACAGGCAGAAAGTCGCAGCCCCGCCTTCGTTCTGTGCCAGCAGTTCTCAGCAGGTACCATTTAAATAGACACATGTCCTTCACAGTTCATTGGATGAGTGGGAACAGCCCAGGAAACATCCACCACCTGTGAAAGACTAGCTCAGCTAGGTGGTGTTCTTCCTGGGTTTTGTGGTTTCAGGTTCTTCACGTGCTTAAATGTGCAAATAAGATTCAGGAAGCCAACAAAGGTCAACACCAGCAATCCCACACATTTACAGGGTATAGGTCTCCAGTGCAGGGGTCAGGCCCCTTCCCCACCAGTACTCCTTTCACAGGGAGGGTTTCTGGTTAACATTCTCGTTTTACCTTGTATTAGGTTCCCATCATGCTAGGAGCATTCATTCCTGCCAACTTCTTTGAATTAAAGAGAAGCACTATGTTCCTAATCTGTATTTTAAAAAAAGAGATAAACAATGGCTATTCTAATACTGACAGGAAAACCCTTAACAGTCTTGACTGGACCTTATTGTCATTAATTAGTGCGAAGGACCTCTCCCATGTACCTTCTCATTTTACTTGGAGGTCCTGCGCCATTCTGAGGGAAGCACTGATTTTTTCCCCCTCATTGCTAGAAACTGCAGCTTCCAGGCAGTGAGTTCAGTTCTGGCTCTTGTGCCAGCATCTTCTACGGGCTGGCCAGCACTTGTGTAGATAGGGAGCTGCTCTTCACAGAAACACCTCTGTTTGCTGGTCATGCAGATGTTTGCTACAGAACCTGCTAGTCTGTTTTCCATTTTGTAGCAGGAATTTTATGCAAAACAGTATGTAGGACTATCTCATTTTCTGTATGCTGTTCCTAGGTGTGGCGAAGAACAGTTACAATTTCATGTGGGACGTGGTCTCTACTAAACTTGGTGGGGTGCAAACATAGTTAAGACTTGCTATGTTTTCCACCCAGTTAGCAAACGGAGCTTAATGACAAGATGCAATACATGAAGAGAAGAAACATATGCATAGGACTGTGGGTTAACAAAATACACCTTGTTGCACAGAGCAAATGAGAATGAAGTTAAGCTTGCTACTAGCTTGGCAGTTGTTAGTGGCAGTATCTCATAAGGTCACCACAGAAAGAGGTCTTGAGGAGGGATTCCAAAGCTGATGAATTTCTGGTGGTACAGTTTTTTCTTCTGGCAGTTTGTTTCACATGTGAGGGGATGACACAAAAGAAATGTTCAAAGATACTTGTGAGAGAACGGAGTTAACAGGAGGTAAAGGTTAGCAGGGAGTTTCTGAAAGCCACTGCCAGTGCTGTGATCCTGAAGCTGAAAGATGTGGGGTTAAAGTCATGGGGATGAAGACAACCCATCTTGTCTTTGTGAAGGAGGAGAGGCAGCTGCGAGAAGTAAGCCTCTAACACAGGAGACAATCAATCATTATGACTTGCAGTAGTAGATATCTGGACAGGTAGCGGTAGTGAGACCAATTTAAGAAACACGGGCAGACAACTCAGTGCAAGAGGCTTACACTGAACCCTTGAACGTGTGCTGCCCAGCACCCACGCACCGTGGAAGCATTTGACTGATGTCACCCTGCAGGATTGCTGTAGAACTAGTGAGATGCTCACAAAGCCCACAGCATTTTTACTGAGACCACCTGAGAATTTTTTTCCAAGGCCTGCTCTGTAGGAGGTACACAATAAGCTAGGTCCAGCCCTGTGAAGTTAAGCTGGTGCTGCACACAGCTGAGCGCTCTGTTGTTGTGGGCTAAGAGACCAGGTGAGTAACGGGAAGAGGAGCCATCCATCTCCCAGAGGCATAGAGGATATTGCATGTCTAGAGTTTTGGCAAGGACCAAGCAAAATTGACTTGCAGCCTGGATTCAGGCAGGCGTTTGTCGTTTACACAGCACTGACCTACAGCCTCAGTTCGCAAGTGCAGTGGTGCTTTCCAGCAGAAGGTAGCTTTTGCGGTTTGACTGGAGGTCTGAGGTTGAGGAATTAATTAGTTTCTCAGCCCTATCAGCAACTCCCTGCGTAACACTGAACAGGTCACTTCACCTTTCTGCCCAACTCTCTTTCGGGGGGGGTGTGGGGGGGTGATAATGCATACTTTAAAAGTGGTTTGAAATTCTGAGGTGCAAAGAGCTGTATAGATACAAAGTATGGCTGACAGCCCCACTATTCTGCCTTCCCTTCAGCTTCCAAGAAAAGCTGCGACATAATGGGTTAGAGGATCCCCCTAGGAATTACTATGACCTTGGAAATTAGGTGATGCATGGCTGTCACATAAAATACAGTTAGACTACTGTCTTCCTACAAATAGGGAAAGATAATAATGGTCACTCCAGAATTCTTGGCATTTAAATGCTTCACCTTTTTCCAAATTGCAGGCAGGCAGAAGAGTTGTAACATGCAGCTGCTGAGGATCACAGATACCTTTTGGGGTGGCTCTAAAAGGGCTCCCATTTTTCCAGTTCTGTCTGGTCAGAGCAGCACCAGCTCTGACTGCACCCTGGCTGGTTTCCTTATTTAGTGATTACACCTCTTCTAAATGAGAGTGCTGTCAGCCTGCTTTCTATAGTTGCCTATATCCAAATTTCTCTGTTCACGGACACTGAGGAACTGGTCAAACCTGATTTCTTCAGTGGTATTTGAGTGTGGTAAGGAGACTTTATTCATGTGCTTAATTGGCTGAGAAAAGGTAGATTTCACTAACATTTTCATATCCTTGAAATGTTTATGTGGTAGTTAGCTAAAACTCCTTGGACCTCTATTAACTGTTGTTTTTGCTAACAGTTCTAACAGATCTTGTACTAATAAAGGTTCGAAGCTAACAGTATTTCCCTTTACTTACTGCAAAGGCTCTGGGGTAAATCTTAAACGTAGAACTGTAATAATAATGAGCACGTTGACATATAATTTTGTATATCAGCATTAAATGCTGAATCTAAAATTTCAGCATAACTCTGTAAGCCTTGACAGTTTAACTAGGCCTGCTGGAATTTAACATCCCGTTTAGCTTTTTTTTTCCCCCAATTAAAAATAGACTTTATTTTTGTTACTGATAACTTTAATCATGGTTTTCATTTCTGGTCAAACTCTTCTACCTTGGGACCAAAGCTTTACTTCCCTGCTTCATGTGGGGCCACAGTAATACCTGTTTTAGCTTCCAAGCAATGGCAGCCACCTCTCTAGGAGAGGAGCAGGGCTGCTGGTTCTCAGGGCCAGAGAGGAAAGAGGTGGAAATTATAATCCCTGAGCGTGGGGGTGGCAGAAAGCATAGTGCAAAAATAAATGTTTTATCAACACTGACAAGTTTACAGAAGAATCCTTCTCCGCCTCTGTATAAAACATTGATGCATGTGGTAAAACAAAGGAGATTATTTGACTATAGACCTTGACTGGTTTACTCTCAACTTTTGGCAGATAGTGTGGAGCGATGCTAACCCTGTCAGCATGACAGCAGTATGAAAAAAAGTGTTTCTTCCAAACCTGGCTCATAGGTTGGCTTTTTCTGGTGAAATAACTTTAAAAAAAATAAAGTAAAATTGTGTACAGGTGTCCCAGAAACCTGAAATTAAATCAAGGATTTCATGGCTTGTTTATGTGAGAAGATGTGTCTTTCAGTAGAACACCACTGGTGCCTTCAGTCTCAGGATTAAAGTGATTGAGTCAAAAGCCCTACTTGCAGAGAGCCAGGAGGACGAAGAGGAGGAGGAGGAGGAGGAGGAGGAAGGTAGTAGAGCTGGCTTCTCTACATATGCTTCCTGGAGCTACCAAACATGCAACGAGTCAAGCACAAAGGGGACTGACAATTCAGAAGGACCTGTTTCCCATACGCAGTTCTGCTACAGGGGAAATTTTACCCTGAGAATTGCTTTTTCAGGCTTTTGCTCGCATTATATGTCAGTTGCACCCTTTGACCCCTTCGCTGGTTTAGTCTGACCACCACCTCTGAATATGGCTCAACTCTAGGAAAAAATTGTCATACTAAAATGACTAAAAATATCTTCAGAGGGATTGTAAATTTAAGGGACCATTTCTAATTCCTAGTAGAGGCTGCCTGTGTGCTAGGAACTAGGGCAGAATGGAAGAAAAGGAAAAAAATCTCCCAATCTGCTCTGCCCTGTTTCTGGAATAAGAAGTGTCTGAAGTGAGCAGTATACAGTCCCGGGAGCAATCACCTAATTTCTGCCGTCATACGGTGACTTTTGCTTAACGGGTTTCATCTTTGGCTTGGCAGTAGCTTTCCTCGAGCAGTTCTGGCCTGTAAATCTTTGGCTCACTAGCAGAGGGAATTTTTACATCTTTAATACCCAAAGCATCTTTCATGGGCGATCATGCTGAGTTCAGATGAATACGTTTCGGTAACGTTGCCTGGGGTACAGCTGCAGGGCCAGCACCAGGGGGAGAGCTGGAGGTTTTCTGGCCACTCGAGGCTGGAGAGGTGTGTGGCTTACTAGCTGCACCTCCAGTGGAGATGTCCCTGCTGAACCGGGCCATCTGTACCGGGTGAAAGCGCAGGTGCTTGGCAGAGCATCCCATAGCAACCACAGCTGGCAGGTGCCAGAAGAAGAGGGTGATAAAGATCTACTGACTTGCCTTTGGGCACTCGGTGGCGCATTTACATTGCTGCAGCTTCTGTGGCTGTTCTGGCAGCCCAGCTGCAGTTTAGTCATAGAAATATGGATGTGAAAATAGACCTCGGAGCCTAGCTGATGGGGAGCTGAGAGTGAATTTTCCCTTTTTCTCACTAGTATTTTCTGTCAACAAAATGAAGTTGCATTGGTGCTTCACTCATTTGTTGAGAAGTTTGTCTGTGATACCTATACCTGCCAGATATAAATAAAGTCAGTTTTATGATTGCCGATGAACCCTCCCCTTCCCCCAGTTTTGTTTTGTAATGCCTTCGTTTGATTTGTGGACAAAACATAGGCATCACCCCCCAAAGGTCTCTAAATTCAGTCCCTAACTACTATTAAAGAGACCCTTTCAGACCCTTCAGGCTGTTAGGTGTTCACCTAGTACTTGTAAAAACTACTACCATTTAGTATCTTACCTCCATAGACAACAAATCCCTTTAGGCTGACTGATCTCTTTGGTTCTACAGATCAGACTCGTGGTTGAAGAGGGACTGAATCAATTGCCATACACAGAATGTACCGTGACCACTCCAACAGGTACGTGGGAAATTACTCCTCCCCTAGGTAGGACTGGAAGTGGAAGCTTAACTAATACAAAAAAATATGGGACTGTTAACAAGGATCATAGAATACCTCAAATTGGAAGGGACCCATAAGGACCATCGAGTCCAACTCCTTGCTCCTCGCAGGACTACCTAAAACTGAACCACGTGACGAAGAGCGTCGTCCAGACGCTTCTCGAACTCTGACAGGCTTGGTGCCATGACCGCTTCCCTGGGGAGCCTGAGGCTGAAACAGTTCCAACATTCAGGGTAGAGTACACAGTGAAGATCCCTTCCGGTATTTGAAAAGCTAGAAGGTGCGTAACAACGCAACTGAGCAAAACATACAGTCGTATAGTTGTCATTTTACTAAGGTTTTAAATTGGTCTTGCAAAACCATGATGAAAATCTACCAGCGTATGCGCAAGATCAGTTTACTTGCCCGTACTGCAATGACATTTCACGTGCCCGTTAAAGAAAAAGTACTTGGCACAAGCAGTTTGGCCATGCCAGCCTAAATCCGTCCCTGTTTGCAGCAGGGGGCCAGCTGGGAGCAATGATAAGCAGGAAATAAAAAGTGGCTGTGTGGGCACTAGAGGAAACCCATGGCAGTAATTTTGGTTTGCTCCTATTAGCTGTAAAGATAGGTAAGGTTGCACGCGTTACTCAGAGGTAGCTGCTTAGTGCATCAGCAGCTTCTTGGGAGCCGCTCAAGTACGCGCTGTGGATCCGCAGCACACCTGTGGGACATACGCCACGCGAGTCCTCTTCCCCCCGAGAACTGCATTTGCATTTCTGCAGGGTGAGAGCAGCTCTGTACATTCACACCCTCTTCCCCTCTGCAGTAAATCATTTGTATGTCTTTTAGTTAGAGAAAAGATGGACTGAAAACACTCAATTCTGAAACTAGACAGAGTTTAGGAAGGCACTGAGGAGGCACAATCACTTACCTTTGCTCCTTTTTAAATAAAACAGCAGCTCCTTTACTTCTTGAGCATTGGCGTCACATCTGTTCCAGGTCAGTCGGTGACGGAGAGGTTGATGACCATCTTCTCTCTGCATTACACAATTTGACTGGCAGGTCCCCTGCAAGGAACATCACTTGGAAGCTCTACAGTTCTTTTGGAGCGGGCCACTGCCCTGGCAGTGGACAAAGAGAGTCTCGGACCTTGCCCTCTGAGCACCCGTCGCCTTGGTGAAAAGGCTTCATTTCCTGCCCTTACGCCCAGTCACACTGTAGATAGAGTCTTACTGTCTGAAACTGTCTTAGCTCTGCAGTCAGTGCGTTTGCCCTTTCGCTCCAACCCCTGTGCCCAGTGAGGGAGCTAAAATGGCCTCAGCTGAGCTCTTCCAGCAGGAAGTGTCCCCTGAGAACTCAGATGCTTCTGCATGAATTCCTGCTTATCTGTACTGAGCTCTTTCCTTCCAAGCATTTGTAAGATGCCATAAGCACAGGTGATTTCTGCTCTTCCGGGCTCAGAAGCAGAACACCCCTCAAGGACATCAGTGAAACACCCTACTCTTTCTCCTTCAGGGGAGCCTTTGGACTCTTTTCAGTCAGGCAGGGGAATATGCGACGCCTGTAAGGAACATCACCACGTGTTCTTCCCAGCAGTGCTGCTGGGCAAGCTCCTTACCAGCTTCTGGGGTTAGATCTGAAGAACTATGAGTGGGACAATCTGGCTTCGCTGTCTTTATCTCTGAATTAACAAGAGACCTGAGCTCACAGTACTGATGATCATCTCTCTCATACGCATACCATTGCCCACTTTTTTCTTTCAGTGATCGAGAACACAGTGACAGTAGCACTGTAGCATCGTGTTTCAGTTCTAACTCTTCCACCTGCAGCACTGGACTGCATTTACCTGGCTTCTTAGGGGACATACTGTTTACCTTTATTTTGCATAGCGTCCTTCATGTAAAGTAATCACAGAATACCGGAGTTATAAAACACGTACTTGGAAAGGATCACTTCTGTGCCACTTTTCTGACACGACTTCTAAAGGTAAAAAAAGCACAAGTTCTTCACCAGTTACGGTTTTGGCCCTGTTCCCATTGCTTGGTTGAGGGCTGCAGGACATGGTGTGCAGATTGGTTCATGCCACCTGTTGAGAGATGGGGAGCTCGCTGTTGTCCCCTGGGTATTCGGGGGATTTCTGTTCCATTCACACCAAGGTCACTTAAAACAGTGTCCCCCACAGGGGCGTTAAGATGGGGCAGAAGGGAGCAGTTGCTGCCACTGACATCTGGTTTCTTTCCTCTCACAGGACACAAGTACGAAGGAGTCAGATTTGAAAAGGGAAACTGCGGAGTCAGCATAATGAGAAGCGGTAGGCAGTTTCTGGTCGTTGAATGAGCACGAATTAAACGTTTGGGAAACCTGTAACCAACTTCCTTGCAAAAATGTGCAACAACACTTCTCTACAGCCAGGTCTTACCCAAACCTGCCGGTTGTTATTCTTTCTTAGGTAGCCTTGATCACAGAATGTCAAGTATTATGTTTCATTAACTCTTTAGGAGCCAAAGAGCTGCAAGAGATTTCACCTGGCCTCTTCTCTAGCAGCCGTTACCTGCGAGAGGCCAGGCCAACTGCCCTTCCTTGTTTGACTTCTGCTCAGGGAGAGGTCCCCAAACCAACCATGCTCCGTGGTGGCAGAGTCACTGTTATTTTGCCCAATGCTGCGGAAACCTTTGTGCCTGTGATGTAAAATCCAGTGGCTCCACAGCTTCCTGCACTACGTTTTGCACCGCGGTGCCTCTGGGCAGAGCTCAAAGACGTTCTCCAAACCCCATTCGTTTGTTTTGACGTTTCCAGCTCTCGCCTTTGAGAGCTTAGCACTGGTGTGTGGGAACACTAATACCCGGGAGCTAAGTAACACCAAGTAGACTTGTTTTTCTGTCTAAACAGAGAAAAAAGGAAAAATCGCTTCAAGTGTTTTTAACACTTGGAACCGAGAAAAAAAAATAATCTCCTTTTTAGAACTCTTCACCAATACAGTATTGGGACTGTCTATTTAATGGTAGCATCTTGCAATTGTGCCGTTTCTCAGCGTGTAACAATGTGGCGTTGGTTTTTTTGCTGCTCGTTTTGAGGGGAGGCAATGGAACAAGGTTTACGAGACTGCTGTAGATCAATCCGCATAGGAAAAATCCTGATACAGAGCGACGAGGAGACTCAAAGAGCGAAAGTGTACTATGCTAAGTTTCCACCAGACATTTACAGGAGAAAAGTTCTTCTTATGTACCCAATACTAAGTAAGTGTCTTTCATCATTATGTACAGTGAGTGCGCTGAATTTAAAGGCAGATTTCCAAATTTCAGGGGCTTTGATTAGGTTTTTTGCTTGGTTTAGGCGACATAGTAGGGAATTTATCAGGCTGTGCCAGAATACGTATTAGTCAGCCTGCACCAGCATGAATGCAGAGCAAATCACTTGGGCATGCCTCCGTTTGTGAGAAAGGTTGAAGCATTAAGACTTGATACAAATGTCATTTTTTAAATTTTGCCACGAGAAAAGACTCAAACAGTATTTTCCTCATGCTATTAAAAGACATTGTTGGATTACAGATCCTAGAAGTAAATTACTTTAAAATTAAATACAGTTAATGCTACCAAAAAAAAATTAAACCTGGTAAGCGTGGTAAGGAGTTTGTCAGACTTTTCCAGTCTAAGATTTAATTCTGGTTCTACACACGGAGCTCTTAATTGCCATTTTACTATTTTAGATGAGCTTTCTTGCCTCGGGGCTTTAATAAAATCCACCGACTTCAGTGCTGAAAACGTGGCAGAGTTGGCTGTTTCGGAGTAGAGATGAAGTTCCTTCATCGGGAGGCCAAAGTTTTCTACAATTAATACGTGCAGAGGTGATAGTTTCCAGTGGGAAAGGACAGTATCACCATTCGGTCACACACCAATGTTAACATGGATATTCTCGGGTGGCCTAGGACAAGTTCTTCCACCGGGGGCGGGGGGGAAGAAATAAAAATCTCCCTTTTTCCCCTTTTAGGTACTGGTAATACTGTCATTGAGGCTGTCAAAGTTCTTGTAGAACATGGCGTACAACCAAGTGTCATTATCCTGCTAAGCCTATTCTCCACGCCTCACGGTAAGTTGAGGGGGTGCGAGGGGGACGGAGGGCTGAGCACAGGTACATTTAACGGGGAAGAGTTATGTTAGTCACGCTTCAGACAGCGGCGAAGAGCTGTTCCTTTGCAAGTAACGACAGCAGCATCGCTTCGCTCAGAAGAGAGGTTTGGGTTTTTGGCTGAATCGTAAAACCGAGAGTGAACCGCGACACGTGTGGTGTGGGCAGGGGAGTGGGCTAGCAGAAAGGAAAAGGCCCGTTACACCTAATGGCAAAACTGCAGATGGTGACGTATTCCTAAAAGCAGGAATCTGCAGCGCTGCCAGGTACCCAAAATGCTTCAGTGGCTCACAAAGCCACTCCTGCTGTTGCTCTGGACTGCAGCAGCCCACGGATGGTGTTGAGTTGGTCCGCCACCAAAAGAATACCAGTTCTGTAAGGAGCGTGAGGTAAATGAAGCTACAGAACTGTCCTGTCCGCACGTTAAAGATCTTACCTTGTAAAAGGGGATCCAAAAAAGGAACATCTGTTTCTGTGAAGTAGGAAAATGGATCGTGTGCGCTGTTTTAAAAATGGGCCGTGGCAGAAATCACTATCAAAAAAGTCAACTGACCGGCAGAGAGCCATTCCTGGCAGTCTGTAACCACGTTGGCGATTAGATTGGGAGTATACGTGTACGGTAAAGAAAAGAAAAAACAAATAAGAAAACCCAAAAAAGCAATCCACTAAATTCGGGAAGTTTTTCCTCATAGACAGTCAGCTAAGGCAGAAACGTGAAGCGGAGATGGAAGAAGAGAGCCCGATTTATCTACGGAATTCTGCTAATCGTGGTTTAACGTGTGGTGCTGAAATACAGCTGCGGTGCTGTAGTCCTTATTGCCTTTGCCCTCTCTCAAAAGGTGCCAAGTCCATCATCCAGGAATTCCCAGAGATCACAATTTTAACTACAGAAGTTCATCCTGTTGCACCAACACACTTCGGACAGAAGTATTTTGGAACAGACTGACACACGGAACAAACGGATATGACTATATGATGAGACAAGAGGGGTTTTCCTACGTTTTATTATTGTGGAGTTGGTTGAGGGCACGTTTAAAAATCTTTTTGGCCAGAGGGGGAAATACTTGACTTGGATCAGTTCGGGTCAGTTACTGCCTGAACGCTGAATCAGGTGCAGTAACGAAGCACTCTGTCATTACAAAGTCAAGCATCTCAATGTTGGGGTTCTATACATTGCTACACTCTCTGCTTTAACTTATTTATTCTTCTGTAGCCTGCCTTGTGGCTGCTTGCAAGAGCAAAATAAAACAACTAAATCACAACGGTGCGTACTTCATTTCTAGCGGTAACGTTTACATCGCTCCAGGTCAGCTGGTACAGCCCCTCCTAATGCTTCCAAAACGACGGGTGCACTTGGAACTCGACGTAATTCTTAGCAGCCACACTGAATTTTTGGCAGAATTTTCAGCCTTTGGATGGTGGCCAAGAACTAAAGATGCGACTCTCTGAATTTCGCTCTGTAGTGAAACATCCACAGTTGTCTTGCCCGATGGTACCGAATAAAGCAGCTTCCGGCTGCAGCGCGCGTGCCCTGGCGAACTGGGTGGGAATTGAGGGTGGGGGCAGCACTGTCTAGGGCAGTCCTACACATGGAGCGCTGCAGTGCCGTCTCTTAAAACGTCTGTGGCTGAATCGGTACCGCTAACCCTTTTAAAGAAGGGAAAGCTGTGGCGAAAACTTGAACTCGATTTGTGGCTCTGTTCGCAGAGCAACAGGGCTTCAAGTCAAAAGACAAATACGGCCCTCGTGGCTTAGCACCCTTTCCGAACACTCAATGCGGCACCTGTATCGATCGGATCAAACATAAATCTGCAGCCAAATACTTTCTTTGGCTTTAAATCCCCTGGCACCAAGTACCCAATATCCAACGCTTAAACTAGCTCGTACCTGGCCTCACTGTAACTTTGGGGAAATTTCTATCTAAAGGCAATATAGTCCATGATCATTTTTTAAATATATCCACATTCTAAAAAGCGCAGGGTTGCAGAATGTCACCGCAAGCGGGAGTGCTTCATACCTCTCGTCAGGTGAGCGGAACGCAAAGGCCTGGGCTGCCCCAGCCTGCACCTGGTGAGACGAGGGGCAGCACTTCGCGAATCCTTTCTTTCGACACAGATGAAGAACCTTCCCCACTCCAAGCAGGAATTGCAATTAATTAAAGTTGTGTGAGGCTTCCAGAGAGAGAACATTTAGCCTGAGCGTAGGCTAAGTCGTAGGAAATAACCATTCACAAGTATAATAAATTAGCCAAAAATGGTTTTAATGCAGTCCTTGCCCGCAGTACAGCATAAACCGTGCAGGCTTTCTGGTGTAAACCATAGTAGAAAATGACAAAGCAGAACGTACAGGATATTCAGCTGTAGAAACCTTACAAACACTTGGAAAGTGCTAGTGAAACGTACACAAAGCATTCATAATAAAGTCAGAGAGTTGGTCGGACAGTAAAAACGAGTATCCAAAGCTTTTGTAAAAACCCATTTGATATCAAAAGCCTCAACGTCGGCAGCAGCATTAAACTGAACCCGACTGAACATCCCAAACGCTGTCAGCAGACCGTTCGTGACATTCATTGGAAAACATTTACTTCCTATTAAATTAAGGGGCGAGAAATCGGTATCAAACGACATAGTGGCACGTCCTTAGCTGAACAGAACAGCGCTGACTGTACGTGAGATACTTATAAATACCAACACCAGGCCATAATGGTTATCTAAAAAGCAGCTGAGTGTCAGAACAGATCAGTCCAATGGAGTTTATGTTCCTATTTCCAGTGACGTAGCAGCTGCCGGCACAGCCCGCTAAGGCAGTCCTCCTCGACACGGGAAGGGCGTCGCGCTACGGTGGTTTACAGCGGAGGGAGTCCCGACCCAGGCGAAGAGGTAGCGTATGGGAGCCCGAGCGCAGCCTCCTGATCCCAGAACGGCTCTCGCAGCCGGCGTTCCGCCCCACCCAAGCTTTCCCGCCTAGTCAAAACACCAGTGAGTGAAACCCACTCGCTTTACCTTGAAGCAAGGTGAAAAACGCCTTCTAATGCTGAATTCTAACACGCAGATAGGTCTGCGATTATCTGATCCTGAGACACAATTAAGTTTTATCTTTGAGGGACCCATTTTCACAACACACGTAAATGAGTCACTTTCAGATGAAAAGCAGCTGGACAGATAGAAGAATTTACAAAATAACACGACCTTTTCTATTTTATATGTTACTAGCAAAAGGGAAGCTGTTAGAAGTTCCCTGCTCCAACAACGCGCTTTGGAGTTACCCTGGAATAGCTCCTGCTCAGACTGCCGGCGAGTACAGCAGGAAGCTACACGTCAGTGTAATTACTGCAGAAGGAGAATGCCCGCACGTGGAGTTAATTCAGAACAGCACAATAGGTTCCGCCTGCCTCCTCACACAAGCTCTTAGTCATAAAAAAATCGTACCTCCTCCTCAGGGGAGGCCACCTCTGCACCAGCCCCGGCGGTTCATTACATCGTCAGGATACGAGACGCCAATACGAGGAATTTCTCTCTCCTACACATCCTAGAGGCTCCTGGATCCTCCAGAAAAAGGCAGGGAAAAAACCAAATACACCAACGCTTGCAAGAATCCACTGGATTTTCCTTTCTCTTCCAAAGGGAAGTGCTGATCTGAGAAGGTGCTGCACACACCTTCCCCGGGTTAGAAAGGAGGTGGGGAGGACAACTTCTTGTGCTTGTTTCCAGGCTTCCCGGGGGATTTAGCCCAAGGTTTAGCTCAAGAAAAGTTCAAGTCTAATAAGCACCGAAACAGCAGGAATGCCTTCAGGTAAAATACCCGCATGTTAAATGACACCTACTCACCTTCACAGTATCCAAAAAATCGGCACGAACAGCTGAAAGCTCATACTATTTTTACTATATATTCAGGAGGAAGAGGAAAGACTCTCTCGCAAAGGGAGACGGAAAAAGGACAACAAGAATAAAACTGTCTAACGGTGGGCATGATCGCAATGTTAATCACCAGAAAAGGAAATAAAGCATCAAGCAGGAAGAGGACGCGGTAGTGCCACAGCCTTGCAATGCTTGTCGCTGCCAAGCTGACAGGCCGTTACGTTTAATGAAAAAAGCCACTCTACCATGGAAGTGCTTTAACTGATGGTTTCAGAACGAGTTTATTTTTGCAAGTGTTCCGTAACAAAACAGAAGCTGATGGATTTGGAAAAATACCCAAAAAATCAAGGTATTTTCAAGCCCTATGGATCAACTTCAAAAATTTGTACCACAGGAATCACTGAAATGAAAATGTGACTCTGAGTTAATTAATTCTGGCTTAACAGGGTCAACAGTACCTCCTTAGCCTGCTAATTCAACGCTTTCGTGAACGAGCCAGCGATGCAGACAGTAAATCTGTTCTGCTGGCCTAACGACTACGCGGGAGGCAGCGGGTCCCTGAATACATCTTAGCACATTCTTTATATCTAACTTTGGGGAAGACAAGGTAAATTCTTCTTCCCCCCCGGACACTTTACATTCATATTATGTTACAGACTTTATGCATCAGGTTTGGTAAGAAATACCAAGTTGTGCTTTCAGTCCCCACCAGCACACAGAACTAAAAAACTACAGCTAGTACAGATTTTGCTGAATCACGTTTCTGGTTTCTTCCAGGAAGTAAACATTCACTGCTACCGTGCTGTTGGGAAGCTTCCCGGTTCTTGTCAATGACAGTACACTACATGCACTAGCTACAGCCTACTAAACACACACAGTACTGCTTCCCGTTTAAAGGAATGCAGTCTTACTCTACTCCAAAAACACACGGTACCAATTCAGCAAGAGACAAAACAAAATTGCAGTGCAGTGAGGCTTACAGAAGTCCGAATTCCTTGGACGGGACTCACCGGCCAAGGAGAGGACTTGCCACGATTCTATCCATAGAAACATCAATATGATGTTTTCTCTATTTATTTTTTTTTTAAAGAGTACAGTGTACCTGAACGTAAATGGGAGAGAAGGGGGAGAGGTGAGGAGGCGGTTGTTAGCAGTCAGTTATTTTGGAGCATTAATCTAGGAGTACAGGGATGAGACAGAGTGATAGGTATCACAGTAAAACCCAGCAAGAGCGTTCGTTCTTTCACACAAGGACCTCCGCCTGGGAAGGCTGCTTATAGCAGAGGAAGTCCTCACCCACACGAGGGCCGTGAAATGCATTTGTAAAATGCTGAAATACAAACAACAAACGGGCCAAAGGCAAGGTAGAACATGCTGTACCTGGGCTGAACTCTCGCACTTCCGTGCCCTGGTTTAAGCTAACAAAACCATGGTTGCGTTCAACACTTTCAGAGACACTCCTGCCGAGTCTCTGACACCTGCAACGCCGGTTGTCACTCGAGCCATATATATTACTACCTGATGACTGTTGGTAGAATTACAGGCAGCACCTGCCGGTCCCGTTCCAGCTTCCACGCTCTCGTCGAAATAACCCTGACAGTAACTGGCACCGCAGCCGGCGGGCGCACAGCCGGCGGTCGCAGGCCTGGTCTGCACTGCAGAGCAGCCTCGTGGCCGTGTGAAGAGCGTCCTCCCGCCAGCGGTCAGATCCACCTCCCTTGGCTACACTAAGCTAACAAAATCGTTCTTCTCTAAATACAGGTGCTTCTACACCTCAAGCTCTACTGGCAGTATGAGATCCACTAAGGACAACGGCTGTTTCTGACCCTGAGCTGAAAACCACTTCTTTTCTGCAGCGTAGATCTGATGCAAAGCCAGAGAAAACAGCCCCCTGGATGGGGTCGAGACAGTTGCCTTGCTGCTTCCACACTGCACCAGGCTGCAGTTCAACAGCTTAGTGAGCACTACAGTCGCACAACCTAAATCAGCACCAGAACTGAGATTCAAACCTTAGGAGTTTACCGAATTTTTTGGGAGCAACTGGATTTACAGCACCTAACTAGGT